ATCTGTGCTGAAGGACTCGTCTGTGCTGAAGGACTCGTCTGTGCTGAAAGACTCGTCTGTGCTGAAAGACTCGTCTGTGCTGAAGGACTCGTCTGTGCTGAAGGACTCGTCTGTGCTAAAAGACTCTGTGCTAAAAGACTCGTCTGTGCTGAAAGACTCGTCTGTGCTGAAGGACTCGTCTGTGCTGAAAGACTCGTCTGTGCTGAAAGACTCGTCTGTGCTGAAGGGCTCGCCTGTGCTGAAAGACTCGTCTGTGCTGAAAGACTCGTCTGTGCTGAAGGACTCGTCTGTGCTGAAAGACTCGTCTGTGCTGAAAGACTCGTCTGTGCTGAAAGACTCGTCTGTGCTGAAGGACTCGTCTGTGCTGAAGGACTCGTCTGTGCTGAAGGACTCATCTGTGCTGAAGGGCTCGTCTGTGCTGAAAGACTCGTCTGTGCTGAAAGACTCGTCTGTGCTGAAAGACTCGTCTGTGCTGAAAGACTCGTCTGTGCTGAAAGACCATGAAAGCCAGAGTCAGAGTGAGGAGGAGGAGTTCATCCAAGGATCTGAAGGACAGAAGGTGACAACTTCCTGTTTTATGTTCTAAGGTGAAGAGGGATGGAACCAGGCCTTCAGCTACTTTTAGCTTCTAGCCAGTCCTTTGGCTACTTTAAGCTTCTAGCCAGTCCCTTTGCTACTTTTAGCTTCTAGTCAGTCTTTTGGCTACTTTTAGCTTCTAGCCAGTCCTTTGGCTACTTTTAGCTTCTAGCCAGTCCTTTGGCTACTTTTAGCTTCTAGACAGTCTTTTAGCTACTTTTAGCTTCTAGCCAGTCCCTTTGCTACTTTTAGCTTTCAGATAACCTTTAATTTTAAACGTTTTATTTCTGACTGTCACAGAGTGCGTGCGGTCAGGTGTCCAGTAGAAACAGCGCTCTGGCTGCAGAGGGCAGGAGGACTGAGATCTTCACACAGATGGAAGCACTGGATGGTGAGCTGATATTTATTAAAAATAAAAAAAAACTTAAATAGAAACCGAGCTAACATGTTTTATTTTAAGATGTTTTTCCCTCCTCAGCCGAAGTGTCGGCTGTTCTCCAGCAGACACCCACACCCTGTGACGTCCAGGTGGTGGATCTGATGGAGTACTCACCTCTGGGTGGAGTCTTCTTCTATGGTTTGTATCACCTTCCTGCTCAGGCTAAAAAGGAAGGAAGTTGGAAAATGCAGCAGGTGAGGTTAATATTTATAGATTTGTTTTATGTTTCGTCACGCTGGACTGTAATCATCCTGGGCTTCTTGCTTTGTGAAGGTTTTAAGCACAGGTCTGGAAGTGTTCCCCTACTCCTCTAAGTCCAGCTCAGAGGACCCCTCTCCTGTTGGGGTGTCCGTGACTCTGCCCGACTCTGTGGTTTTCTTTGAACCTCCAGGCGTGGCTCGATGGGACGCTGCAGGTACGAACACAAGCATTAAAACTAAACCRGAGTCGTGTTTAAGCCATGCTTTGTTTTGTCCTCAGATAAACAGTGGAGAACAGACGGCATCACCGATGTTTCGTTCCAGGAGGCTGAAGCCAAAATCTCCTTCAAGATGGAAACTTTGCTGCCGTTCGCGCTGATGCAGAAAACTTACATCAACCTGCCGTTCCGGAGCTGGGAGCTGCGGCCGCTGGGCCAGAGCTCGGCTCGTTTCTCTGTCAGCGGGCCGCTCTTCRACCTCAGCATCACCGTCCAGGCGAGGAGCTCCGCCCTGCTCACCAACACACTCATCACCCGGGGCCTCTTACACGACGCTTCACGACCCCCAGTGGGCTCCCCAGCCCAGCTTTGGGAACCACTGCTCTAACACACACTGCACGACATCATAACTTTAACCGCTCAGTTTATTTTGTTCATTTTCCAAAGAGCAATAACGGGAATAAGGTGTGGATTTACCCAACAGGACAGCCAGTGTTTGCTGCAGCTGGAGGGGGGACCTCGCCCTCACCTGCTGGGGAGGTGGATGAGCAGACCTGACCTGCAGAAAGTCATGATCAACGCCGGCATCAACATCTTCGTGGACGAAAACACGGACCGTTACGTCCGCAGCCTCGACAAGGTCTGCAGCTTTCACCTCGTAACAGAACAGACAGAACTGCAGATGTACCTCACAGGACGGCTCTCAATTAGTAGATTTAAAATAAATTCATAAGATAGATCTACTTTTTTTTGTTTGTATTTCAGATATTTGTGTATTCATTCAGAGTTGTAAAGTAACTAAGTACAAATACTTTGTAGAAATTTTGGTTATCTGTACTTTGAGTAATTATTTTTCAGCATACTTTTTACTTTTACTCATTACATTTTTACACAATTATCAGTACTTTCTACTCACTACATTTTTTTTGAAGAGGTAAGAAGTAGAAAGTCGTTACTCCTATTTTATTATGAGTTATTACTTAAAAAAATACTATCCTGATAAATAGTGTCTCCTATAGAGTGAATTTAATTGTGKTTGGATGAGAAGTATAAATATAAACCATTCTGACACATTGTTAACTTGTACACAACCCATCATTAAAAATAGTTTTTGGAGAAGTCACCTCCCAATAAATGTCATTTTGGAAAATCTAACTGCTCACTTTTACTCAGTACTTTTACTTTTAATACTTAAGTAGATTTTGTGTCAGAAATTTACTTTTGATACTTACGTACAAAAAAATTCTGATACTTTAAGACTTTTACTCAAGTAATATTTTTAGAGAAGACTAACTTTTACCAAAGTATTTTTATAAGATAAGATACTTGTACTTTTACTCAAGTATCACTTTGATGTACTTTATACAAAACTGTTCATTCACATCATAAAGTATTGTGTTTAAGCATTCTTTTCATTAGAAACTGTTGGTTTTTAATAACAAATTTTATTGTTATATATATTTGGAATGAAGGCACTCAGGTAAGCTGAGCATTTATAATTAAATATTAGATATTCAGATGTGAACATTTTTAAAGAGGGATAAGGAACAAACTGKAAACTCATCTTATAAACATGTTTTCATACTTAAAGCTGAAACTCTRTGCTCACGTTCACATAACTTGAAAATCATTAGATGTTTCACCCACAGCTTTAAAAACAAACTGTTTCCTGTTCAGAACCCAGGTGTGGAGCGAGCGGCCTACCAGCAGATGGCGCTCTCCGCCTCTTCCTGCGCCTTCTCATGGAGCAGGTGGAACTCTGAATGTGGCCCTGAGCGTCTGGTCCTGCAGGTAGATCTTCAGTTAGCAGCAGCTGAAATAACATTTTCTTCTCCACACTTTGTCCACAGCGTCTCACTGCTTCCTTTTTCTAAATATTTAACTTCTTATTTTCCACATAAAACACAGCTCTCTTTAAACCCTGGATCAATTATATCTGCTTCAGCACGTTTTGAACTCTTACGCCACTTTAAGCCTAAAGATGTAAAAGTCTAGCTAAAAGAACACTGATTAAAAGCTTAAATTAGCCTTTTGTTACTTTAGCTTATGTTTTGCTATTTCTATATTCAGTTTTTCTGCTTTTGGCATTTAAGTAGTTATATTAGCTCGCTTTTTTGATATTTTTTAGCTAGCATTTTACCGTTTTTAGCCATTTTGCTAATTTTTTTAGGCTTTTGCTTCTTCTGCATTCAGTTTCGCATCTTTTAGGTTTTGTGTAGTTCGGCTACTTTTAATGAGCCTTTTGCTTTTTTAACTAATTACTGATATCTTACTACTTTTGGCTTTAACTAACCTTTTTCTAAATTTAGCCACAAGCTATGATTTTGATACTTTTAGCTGTATGGTTTTAGTTTTAGCTTGTATTTGAATTAACAAGCATTTGAATACTTTACCTTTAAGCTAGCATTTTGTTGTATTTTGGTTTTGTTTGCTGCTTCTAGCATTAGCAAGCATTTCACCACTTTTAGCTCATATCTTACTACTTTTCACCCTTTTTCCATTTCTGGCTTTAATTCTGCTTTTCCAGCATTTAGCTATTCTTTGCTACTTCTAGCTTGAGTTTTACGACTTTTGGTTGGTTTTGCTAGTTTTAGCTTGTATTTTGCTGCCTTTATTGTTAGTGTTTACTACTTATTTTTATTTTACTACTTATGGGATGCCAAGCATTTAACAACTTTAGCTTTAAGTGAGCCTTTTACTATTTGAGCTTTTGCAATTCAGCTAAAATGTAGTCGTTCAACACTCAGCATTTTCACAGAAAGCAGTTTCTCTTTAAAGTAAAATAAAAAGTATAAAAAAGAAATAAATTGCAGAAAATCAACACCGTTATTTTTCCAGGCATGTGAGCACCATGGCCATGACCCGGTACCTGAAGACTCCTGGACTTTGTACCTGGTGGGCTCCCAGTGGAGCCAGAAACTGGACCTGACTGAGAAGAGCCAAAGCTTCTCCTCAGACCACGATCCTGGCAGCAGGTTTCACTCCACCTTCTTCCACATGCTGCAGGACAACATGAGTCCTGAAGGGACCACTAAAACCACACAATCCCATTATCTGTTGGTCAACACGCTGCAGGACCTTCTCTGGTCTACCAGACCCCTGAACTTCTCAGGACCTGGTTAGGAGGCGGCACACAAACACACCTTCTGTTGTAGAATAAGCTACTTTATTTGTGCAAAGTTCCACGCAGCTTCTTTGGAAACATACAAAAAGTTTGTATTTAAACTGTGAAAACCACAGAAAAAAAACAAAGAATAAAAAAAGCTTTGGTGTTAAAACAAGTAGAAATCAGTCAATAATTCAGACGTCTCCAAACTCTTGATACTTTAAGAATAAAGACACAAAAAACTAAATCTCTTAAATAACAAACACATAAAATCTAAGTTTATTACCAGTGTTCAAACTCAAGTTATTTGTTGGAAAAAAAAACTGTAGGTGAAATGTTTTTAAAAGCCACATGATTCAGAGACTGGKTATAGTTTGAATCCCTGTGCCGTGATTGGTCAGTGTTGTGCGCAGCATGATTAGACCTGCGGTGAGTCCGATTGGGCGCCGCCTGTGTTTCCTCGTAGACAGACGTGTAGAAACACAGATTAATTTAACAAACCTGATCTGATACATAAAACCCTCCGTGGAGTTAACCACCCCCCGAGGCCCTGTCTGTGCAAGTCTTTCAGGAATATTCAGGCACCGTTAGATGATCCCAGCAGCCTCTTGTTTCTCCATCGGTACCCGCCGCAGAGAGCCGCCCGGTCGTAGAACCGCCCTCCCCACGGGACCCCGCGTTAGACRGGGGGCTGCCCGTTGTGTCGAAGCCCCGCGTACGGCCACAGCAGCTGCTGGATGGTCATCCAGGAGTCCCCCGTCCCCACGGGCGCTGCGTCCGCAGCGGGCTGCTGCATCACCAGGTGGGCCAGCAGGGCCAGCAGACCTGCGTGAAACAAAGGTTCACGAGAGGTTCACTAGTTTTCAGCTTCAAAGGTCTGTGAAGCTAAAAGAACATTAAAAATATGACCAACACATTCTCATTACTCAGTTCACTTTGAGAGAGAAAACAGTCCCACTAACGTTTTATTTAGCTCAGTTCTTACCTTCAGCTAATTTTGACTCCATGTTAAATGTGTGTAAATGTTACATTTTAAATCTAAATGCATCTAAAAGTGGTTAAATGTTGAAGTTTATATTTAAGTGTTTTAGAACAGAACACAGCCTTTGCTATTGGTTTTTGTACAACATCATAACAAAAGACAAGTTTAGCGACAAAGTCCAAATTTCTTTGAATCTGACTGCGAGAAAAAAATAAAATCAACTGTTTTGTAGTGGAAACAGGTGATAAAATAGTTGGGATACTTCTCAAAGGAAAAACCGCATGAATCAAACTCACAAGATGCTAACTGTGACTATCTGACACACTAGCTTCTGTCAGTAGCTCCATGAAAAACAAGTAACAGGGTTGGAGACAACTATTGTCATTGTCCTAAAATAATCACCCAAGTTTTTAGTTGGCAAAATTTAGTTACGCATTTACAGCGGGTAAAATAAGTATTGAACACGTCAACTTTTTTCTCAGTAAATATATTACTAGAGGTGCTAATGAC